TTCAGCTAATATATTTTTGACTTCTTGAAGAATATTTACTAATTCTTCACGGGACTTATTTGATAAACCACGAAAGCGCGATCAATCTAAATCACCTAAAGAAAGAATTAAAGAGGTAATAATAGATAAAATTTCTGATTTTTTTAAAGAGCCTTCGCTTTTTTGAAGTTCTGCCTTATCACATGTTATGGGAATTGGACGCCAAATGCCTAAAGGTGTTTTTTTAATTAATGTTGCTTTAATAAATTCATTTCTTTTCATACTCACGATTTCACTAAATCTTATCATTTGTTCACTTAATATCAATTCTCCACCTAGATTTTGAAAAATACGATTATCAGCATTTGGATTTACAAATTGAGCTTTTCTTATCTGAACCCAGAATCGACGTGATTCAGCAGTAAAACTGGGACGTGTACGAGGCCCATTGGCTTCACTTTCGGAGTATCCTATTATATTAAAAATATTAGTATGCAATTTTGAAAAATTAGTACAATTACATGCCGCAATTTCCCAATGCCATTGTGAAGATATTGGAGGAATTAATGATTTCAATGATTTGTTAATTTCTTCAAGTATTGCATCATAGCCTTGATGTTGGTTTGAAAGTTTGGATTGTGAAGTAACAACCCTTTCTTGGATTAAATTTCGAATTTCAGGCCTTAATCATAGCATTTGTTCTTTATCAGCAATTTCGATTAATCGATAGATTGAATGCCGTTGAGCAGACCAAATAGGTGCAAACATTCGCCTAGCTACAAACTTTAGTGAAGGCCTATTAAAATGAACACCGGTACAAAAGTTAATAATTGCTTGCAAATAAATAAAAGTTTGTTCATACTTTAACCTAAACATATGATCAGTCTGATTTTGAGCCCATTTTAAAAATTCTTCAACAGAAGGATTTTCTTCAGAAATAAAATATGGCCACATTAACTTGGATGCCATTGCGTGTCTATATATATTACATATAGAATCTCACGACTTATGATGATCATGCATTTTTCAAAGAACTGAAATTGGTTGTTAGTTCGATATCTTTAGCACTTAGCAAAATCTCTTAAATCAATAACTCAATTTAATTTAACAAATGTCTTTAACATATTCATTTCTTCATGAAGAGCACCCAGAATTAATATGAGCCAAGGAAAATCTTTTTTTATTTTTTTGTATGTGATGATATGGTACTCCATTACAGGTAACTACAACCCATTTACGGCTACCGTTTTTAACTCCAGATATTTCTTCAATATGCTCAAGAACTTTTCTAACATTAGCAACTGAGTTTGGATTAATTCCTATTAGATTAGGAATAAATATTTGTAGCACATGGACTTTACCTTCCAAAACTGATTGTTGTTTAAATATGTAAGGAGAAATGATAGATAATTTTTCAGCAGCATTTATAGTCTTAGGTTGTTCATCAATTATCTCAGCAATTGTTGGTAATTTATTTTGGCATTTAGGGCAAACTTGTTTCTTATTATCAATATTAGAGGTCTGGCAAACTAGACACTTCTTCATATGTCCTATCTGACTTTGCTGATGAATCAATTTGTCAATTGTATTCGTTTCTTGACTTTTCTCAATACAAAGCTCATCTAAAATAATCAAAAAATAATTAGTAAGTTCTTTATTAATTTCATTACTCATACTTAATGATAAATAAAATAACTCTTCATATTGTTTTTGGTCAAGTTCCTTATATAGCCAAGGATTTTCACTTTGAATATTATTACTTTGACTATAGCTAAATGCAATGAAACTCATAACCGTGTGAAATATAACTGTATTATTTGCACTATCCAAATAATTTTTTTGATCTTTCTTTTCATTGTCAAAGGCCAAAAACAAAAACCCCTCAGGAAGCTGTAGTTGTTTTCCAGCTAAACTTTCTAACCAATTATTGAACTTTATATAACTACTAGAGTTAATAATATAGTTATTGATATTAATGATCATTTTTGATCTTGCTAATGAATACTTAACTGCTAAAATAGCCAAATTAATAGCCAATACATATCTTAAATGCCTTGACTTATATATAGTATCAACTATCACTGCATACTTGAAAAGCTTTTCTTCTTCGTGCTGATATTCATTCTCATTATGCGTAAGAGTTTCTATAAACTTGATGATAACCAGATTCTGCTTAGCAAGCTACTTGGAAGGAGAATACTTTAAAAGACTACCTAAAGAAAACCATTCTTGATTCTTTATTAAACTTATTACATCTTTATACAAATTACTCTGTTTTTTTTTAGCAATCTCTATTATAGAATGAATGTGATCTTCTTGGTTAGTAAATCTTTCGTTTAGCTTTTTTTTTAATATTTTATTTTCACTTAATAATTGCTTATTATTTTTTCTAACTCATCAATTCTTCTTTGAAGAATTGGATCTGAAAAGGATACTTGAGATTCAAAATCAACACAAGCTTTTTCAAACAAATCTACTTGAATGCCAAAATTGACAAAAGTCTTTTCAGGAACTTGCAGCTCAACATCATCATTAGAAAACTTCAATCTTTTTTTCTCTGGTTCTTCTAAAAATAAAAGAATTGGATCAACTTTTTTCTTTAATTGATCAATAAAAGATTTTTTAACAATGATCTGGTTATAATGCTCTTCATATAAAGAATAATGCTCCATAGAGTCAAGATATTGAGTTAATTCAGAAAAATACTTAGCCATTTCTGTTATTCTTTTTGTTGCTGCAGCGGCAGATGCATTTCACCATTTCCTACTCTACATATTTCTACATGTCTTAGCAAGTCACTGTCTTTGTGTTTTTTAGCAAATAAAGTGAAAAGCAAGGCAGATCTTTGGCTTCTTTGGCTTCAGAGTTCGAATTCATGGTTGATCAATATACAAACTATATAAAATTTAAACTTTGAATTTGTAAAAACTAAATTGTTAAGCCTCAGAGATCCCTGGGAATTCTTAAAGTACATGCTTGAAAATATATATATTGATAACTAGTTTCAACTTTTGTTATATATTAGTTACATATTATCATGAATTTTTTTATAAGAAGACCACAGGGATAATCTTAGACTATTCTAGAAATGATCTACAAGTTTTGAAAAATCTCCAACTGTATAGTCACACCTTGATATAATCATACTATTTTTTAATCCAAGCTAATATAAAACATACAAAATATAACCATTAAATAGTCAACCTTTTATAATTATCAGATTTTTTTTTCAAGTTGGTAATTATATCAAGATTAGACTGTATACTTAATACAAACAAGATAAATTAATTATTATTATTTTTTTTTATTTTTTTTTTTTTGGCTTTAAGGTGATCTCTACGGCCAGGGACTTTTTATTAACTTATTAACTTCAGGTTATACAGTTACAACGAGGGTACATCAAGCCACACGTGCACTTTTGGTACCTAATTTAAGTGGTCTGCCTGGGTTCTACACTAGTCGCCATACCTGCAACCTAGCTAGGAGATTATCTATTTAAGCTCTCTGATTATTACTAATAAGAGTATGACTAGCTATACATACAACTTTTGGTTGCCTATTTAAGTAGTCTGCTCTAGGTTCCACACTAGCTACCATACCTGCATCCCAACTATAGGGATACCTATTTAAACTCTCTGGTCATAACTGCTATCTATTCCTAAACTAACCAAGATGTAACTCACTATTCATATGTAGATTTTGCGACATCTGTAGATTTCGCACCCACCTTAGAACTTACTAACCATTTCTGGCTAATCTATCCACGAGGTAAACCTAACAGGGTAGTCTATATCCCACATATGTTTATACTTGCATATTCGGTAATTTTCTTCTAACTAGTACCTGTTTATATTGAAGTTTCTACAAATTATTATAATTATATATATATATATATTTTTTAATATTTAGACAGTCTCGCTAGTACTTTATTAGATATATAGCAAAAATTTTAAGAATTAATATATCAATCTAATTTAATAAGTCTAATATTATCTAAATATTTTAGAAATGCCCAAATATAATCTGCTACACTAATTTATCTAAATAACAAACTAAAAAATTATATCAGAAAACCTAAGTATTCTTTTCTTTAAATTCCTTCTTTTTATAGAACTAAATAAAAAAAAGATATATAAATAGATTATAATCATTTGTTAGAGAAGTATAAAAGAAGAAAAGAAAAAATAAAAAAAGAATCTAAATATAATAACAAGAAGATAAAGTAAAAAAAAAATAAAAAAAAAACAAAAAAAAAGAAATATAACTGCTCTAATCCTAATAAAAAAAAAGAGTAAATCTTAAAAAATACTATAATAGCCTATAAAAGGCTTAAAAAAATTATATAACAAATATAACATCTATATATCTCTACTATAAAGCTTTGCTTTAATATATAAATTTCTTTTTGATTATATAACTATTTTTGGATATTCCTTTAATTAGGTCTAGACCTATAAAGTGTCACTATATCTATTAGTAAATAAGGTTGACCAAATTTAAAAAGAGTAAACAATGCTAATTTTTTAACAAGGATAAGCTGTTTTGTCTACTTTTTATAAAAATTTTAAAAAAAGAGCAAGTGGGTAATAGTATTGAAAATAGCTTTTGTACTCTTTTTTAAAGAATACAGGTTACCCCCGATAATATCAACCTACGTTAATATCAACCTAAACTACAAATCAAGTTTTTACAAATTTTTATATATCAAAATTCCCTCGTATATATCAACTTTAATATGAATTTTTGTTAATATCACTATCAACATAATTTTAAACAGGTTCAAATGGGTTGATATTAACGAGGGTAACCTGTATATATTTTTCTAAAAGTAGTAGAATATATGAGGGTAAGTAAAAATGAGACAAATTTATTAGATAAATTTGCCTTATTTCTACTGACTCTCCTTATATAAAGCCAAGTAAACTACTACTTTTCTTGTTGATAGATAATAAACTCTAAACTTGTTAGCAAGTAGTATATAAGAACTACTTCTAAATAACAAATGCCATTTTTATAGTAAGTGATAAGCTCTATATCTATTAGCAGATAGTATATAAAAACTATCTCTAAATAACAGGTGCTAGTTTATGGTTTTGGTTAGCTTTATACTTCTCTTTTCTGCCATAGTTTACTGTTTTTTGAAAAAAAAAGTTGTTGTATTTTTGGTACAAGAAATTATTAGAAAGAGTTGATAAAATTATATTATAATTATATATTAATATATTATAATTATATATTAATTTAGTATAATTACAGTATATATATTAATTTATTTCTATTATATAATTTAGTAATAAACTGTTAATATTATACTTTATCTTTCAAAATGCATTTGCTTTAAAATAAATTAAATTATAATATGCCTTACTATTATTAATTGCTTGCTTTATATTATTTGGTATTCTAGATAAGGCATTAGTTAAATTTATTTTATTTAAATTATCTTTTACTACTAAATATAAATAATATGGCTGTCTTGAAGTAAATAGTTAATAAACATTAGCTATTTTATCTGCTTCAGCTAAATTAGCCAAAATTATTGAAACTCAAGAAATAAAAGTAATTATTTTATTATAAACTACAAAATAAAGCTCTGGTTTATCTACTATAAACCTAAAAAGAATCACTATATATTTCTAAAAGACTTCTCTTTGTAATTTACAGAAACTTTTTAAATTTTTGGTCTTAAAATCCTTGGCTTTTAAAATTAACAAATATTTAATTAATGCTTTAGATTCTGGTTTATTCCTCTAGTTGTTAGAAATGTTACCAAATGACAAGAATATTAAATGACCAGAGAATTTACTCATATAATTAAGAGTTGTTGCATCTAAATAGAGTATAATTGATAGTAATCAATATCTAGGAAGTAATACTGATTCTTCTCACCTTTACTAATTATAATTATATTGTTTTTTAAATACATGATACTCTATACTATTTATTAATTCTTTTTTATTTTCATATTAAAGGACCACTAACTAATTAATACTATTAATCATTAATAAAAACTTTATAGTCTTTATTAATAATTAATAATAAAATATAAATTTAATATTTTGAAATATTGTAATTAGAATTCCTTTGAACATTATATAAGAAATGGTAGAATTGTTTAGAAATTCTTTACTCATTCTTGTTGATGGAGGTAATAGTAAAATATCCAATCTTAAATATTTGTTAAAGAAAGTTATAATAATATTACCAACTAAGTTAAATTGTTAATACTTATTAACTATCTCTATAAATTTACAATAGGTTTTGTTAGACTAATCAATAATTAGTAAATATTTTAAATTGGTAAAAGCATCATTATAAGATGCACCTTCATAGTTTTTAGAATCACATTTTACCAAAGAATACTATTTTGTGCCATCTTCTTCAGCTTCTCCCAATGATAGTGGTTCTGAGAATGATACTTATCAGCATAAGTTCTGCATGCTCTATATATCGAAGATGTTAACTTAACGCAATCATATTCTTTACATGGTATGTGGGTAGGAGAATCCCAGTGAATTGTACACCTCTCAGGTCGATAGCAACCTCGATTACATACTTTCCCACTTCTAAGAATATAAGGACAACGGTAAAATCCCATATCTAAAGTTTTGCTAATACATTTTTTAAGTAGTATATATTGTCTAACACTAATTTCCTAAAATAATTAATTTTTT